GGACGAGATGAAGCAGAATGGGATAAACGGAATGAAACGGTAGGCCCATCCCATCCCGCTAACAATCGGGATGAGACGTGACGGGATGGCGGGCCTTAAGTGGGCCGTTTTCCAAAAAAAAAATATTTAAGCATTAAGTTTGGCAATTGCTAGTATTTTGACAATGACTAAGTTTTTAAAGTTTGCAACGTCTAATTTTTTAACTTATTTAATAAACTTAAATGTTAAAATAGGAATTAAGAAACTAAGTAAAGAATTATAAAATATTAAAATAAAAGACTTGTAATAAGATATTCTAGTAATTATAATAGAGTTATAATTTATTTAATATAATTTCAAACTATTAGGTAACTAAGTAAGACTGTAAGACAATTCATAAAAATATTATTGCCAATAAAAATATCATTGCGGGACTAGTGGGTGTTTCATCTAATTCTTCTTCCTCATTTTCTTCATCCTCATTTTCTTCGTCCTCAATAAAAATATCATTGCGGGACTAGTGGGTGTTTCATCTAATTCTTCTTCCTCATTTTCTTCATCCTCATTTTCTTCGTCCTCAATAAAAATATCATTGTCAAATTGTCTTTGTACAGTTTCATAATCTAGTTGTTCTTCGAAATTAATATTATAACATGCAGGGGGGAAGGGGTTAGGAAAATGAAGTTTCATCAAAATGAGTCATTTCATCTATATGTTTTCTAATTCTAGGATAAAGGTTAGGATTAAGACTAGGATTAGAATTACTACTACTTTCACCTTTACGATTTTTTTACCACTTTTTTTAAATAAGCCAAATATATTTTTAGGCGCCATAATTTAAATACAAATTTAAATTTAAAAAAAGTTAACATAAAAATTAAACACACAAATAAAATACGAAAATAGAATACGTAAAGTAAATACAAAAATTCAGCACTAAAATGATATGCAAAAATTATATATTAAAATTAGGAGATGGAACGAGTGCACCGTGATTAAATATTCAAAACTTGAAGAAAATTGCCCAAAATATTGCTCCAAATACTTGACGAATTAATTTGAAGCTTGAAAGTTGCTCCAAAAATTTGCCCAAATACTTGAAACTTATCACTTGATTGTGAGAAAATTGAGAGAATAATATAGATAGAATGTAAGAGATTTGAGAGAGAATGATTGATTTTTGTAAGAAAAAATGAAGAAGGATGGAGGTATTTATAGTTAAAAATAGGGCCAAAATATAATTTAATAAACTTAGGGGTTATATTAAAAGTTTAGGGGTGTAGGGGTGTTTGGGGGAGGGGTGGGGGCCAAATATGGCCGTTTTTGGACGTTGGAAACGGCTATTTTTTCAATTGAAGCCATTCCCCAGCGGCTATAATTCAAAAAAAAATAAAAATGACTCAGGATGGGACAGGCGGGACAGGACGGGACGGGACGGAATGGGATGGAAGGGGACGGGATAAACGGGACGAAATGGCCATCCCGTCCCATCCCATGTCCCGTTTAACATGGGCCCATTCCATTAAGAATTAAGTGGGACGGGACAGGACAGGACGCGGGACGGAACCGAGACGGGATGGGACGTCCCATCCCGTTAGATAGCCATAGGCTCAATAGGCGACGATAGCTCAGTTACAGAACCAAAGCCGCGCACCGAGCAGAATTGAACCTGATCCGTCCCGGGAAGTCACCCGCAGGGATGAACCGATCGTAGAGAGGTTGAATAAAAATGAATTGGGAACTAACCCCGAGATCATAAAGATGCTCGAGGAATTGACAAAACAGTTAGAATTAGGGGAGAAGAAAATCGAAGCTAATGATAAAAAGGTAGAAACCTACAATTCCAGGGTCGACTAAATTCCGGGAGCACCACCGATACTAAAAGGCTTGGATTCCAAGAAGTTCATGCAAAAACCGTTTTCTCCAAGCGCGGCTCCAAAGCCGATCCCTTAAAAGTTCTGCATGCCCGAGATTCCTAAGTACAACGGAAGGACCGACCCAAACGAGCATGTTACCTCCTACACATGTTCCATCAAAGGGAATGACTTGGAGGATGATGAGATCGAGTCTGTCTTGTTGAAGAAGTTCGGAAAGACCCTGTCAAAAAGAGCTATGATATGGTATCACAACTTACCTCCTAATTCTATTGACTCATTTGCTATGTTTGAAGATTCTTTCGTGAAAGCATACGCCGGGGCTATCAAGGTCGAGACCAGGAAATCAGACCTTTTCAAAGTAAAACAGAAGGATAATGAGATGCTCAGAGAGTTTGTGTCCCAGTTTCAAATAGAACAGATGGAGCTGCCACTGGTCGCTGATGATTGGGCCGTTCAGGCTTTCACCTAAGGACTCAACATTCGGAGCTCGTTGGCTTCACAATAATTGAAACAAAACCTGGTAGAATATCCGACCGTCACTTGGGCTGATGTCCATAACCGATATCAATCAAAAGTCAGGGTCGAAGATGATCAGCTTGGGGCCCCTTCTGGGTCTGTGTACCTCGTCAGAACCACCGACATAGTCAAGAGAGACATCGACCGTGAACCGAGATCAAACAAAAATCGGTATCAGCCGTATAATGGAGACCGAAGAAGTAGTGGGTCCGGCAAAACTCTATGCGAAATGAAAGGAGAAGTGATCGAGGTTAGAGCACCGGGGACTCATGAGCAAAAACAACTTCGACAGGCCCGTCGGGCCTAAAAAGCGCCAAGATTATCGGAGTACAACTTCAACATCGAGGCCTTACAGAATGTCACAACTCGAACTCACCGATCTTCGGAGACAATTGACAGAAATGCTAGATACAGGGATCATTGTGCCCTCCAAGTCCCCATATGGGTCCCCTGTTCTATTCCAAAAAAAAAACATGATGGCAGCGTGCGACTCTGTGTGGATTATCGGGCTTTAAACAAAATCACAGTGAAGAACAAGTACCCTATTCCGCTAATGACAAACTTGTTTGATAGACTGGGTGGTGCGACGGTGTTCACCAAGATAGACCTGAAGACAGGTTATTGGCAAGCTCGGATTGTAGAGGGTGATGAACACAAGACGACCTGTGACAAGATATGGGTCGTATGACTTCCTGGTTATGCCGTTCGGTTTGACTAACGCCCCAGCTACATTTATCACCCTGATGAACCAAGTATTCTGAGAGTACATTAACGAATTCGCGGTGGTCTACTTGGATGACATTGTGGTATATAGCCAAACATTGGAAGAACACCTAGTGCACTTGCGGAAGGTCCTAGCTCGATTGCGGGAGCATGAACTATACACAAAGCTATCCAAGTGCTCCTTTGCTCAAAAGCAAATTAACTTCCTCGGACATGTCATCGAGGAAGGAGGATCAAGCAATCAAACTTTCTAGCAAGCAAACAATTCTCTGTATTGATGTCTCTCTCCCTCGACACCGTGTTGCTTTTTCTGTAATAGCTTTCATTAATGCAATCAAGTTTTCTTTCATTCTCATCAATACAATCAAATCAACCATCACAAAAAGAAATTTTTTTTCGCCATAACTCGTGATGATTTCGTCAACTAAAACTTTCTGTGAAGTGACTAGAGAAATCTATATGTATCCGAGTTACAGAGACTTCCTTTGAACTTAAGAAAATCATATTAGTGATGGTGCCAATGAAATACAACGTCGATCATGGTGACAGGGTGTACAAAAAAAAATCGACAAACCGCACCAAATGATAATCGAGTCAAATCGAAAAAAAATCCAACTATGGTGCAGTTTGATTTGATTTGGTATTAGAAAAAAAATCCGACCATAATTAGTTTGGTTTGGTTTTAACAAAAAAAGTCAAATCGAAACTAAACCAACCCGACATTACATATATAAAAAATTTAAATATATTTAACGAATAAATTTTTTATTGCAGTGTAATTTATAAATATTTTTAAATTTTTTCATTGTTTTATCAAGTTTGGACTTATAATATTTGAATGCTCCAATAAGTTTTATACTCCATGAATGTTAGTTACTCAAATAAAATCCAAACCAAAATCAAATCGATATAAATACTAGCAAAAGACATTCAATTCAATTGTACTAGAAATGACCATAGTGTTAGATATCTATTTTTTAGTTTTTTCATGGTTTAGATAAAATGCATATTTTTTTTTTAATATTTAGTCATGTAAATAATACTTCTACTACTTATTAGTCGTACTTATTTTAGTAAACTTAGAAATTTTAGATTATGTTCATTTTTGTTAAGGCTTATTAGTAATATTTTTTTATGCGATTTTATTATCTTTATTTATTGAATATTTTAGTACAATGGCATCAATCATGCCGTATTTATGTCATTTTTCTTAAAAAACACCGTATATAGTTCTATCTTATTTGGAGCACAAATTCTATATGTTGTGTTATGATGACTTTGTTAAAAAAAAAATCGAAAAAACCCGAAAACTTGAAAAATCCAATATTTAAAAACCCGACTTTTATTGGTTTGGTTTGATCTTTAGAACCCGACACAATTCGTTTGATTTGGTATTTGAAATACCTGAATCAACCCGACCTATGTAGACATACAGTGGCGGTGATGGTGGTGGAGGGGTGGAAAAAAATAGAGGGAAGGGATAAAATGGATTAGGGGTGCTGAGGTGGCATGCCACGTGATATCTACCTCATCAAATATCAGTGTCACGTAGGGTTGGATATGCACCTTGAACAAACTTAACAGACAATGAATATATTTGAACCAATAGTATAACGGCAAAAATAATTTTGAACCCAAAGTATAACAAAGGGTATATTTGGCCCTTTTCCGTTTTTTAATTAACTGGGTATCTTATAACAAAACAAAATTACAAATCGTCCTTGTTGATTTCATGTAACCATTTCCATAAAGGTATTGTCCACCTATAAGAATATTCCCACAATTATTATAGAGTTAATAGATTAACACTAGGTTTGTAGATTCAACTCATGACAATGTGCCTTTTTAATATCATAACATTATTATTAACCAAATAAATACTACTCCATGAGGAAATAAGTAGTTGGTTCATCCATCGGACAAACAAAAACACACACACACACACAGTGTACAAGAAGAACACACACACTTTCACTTAGTTAACTCCGCCACCTCCAACGGAGCTTTCAAAGCTAACACTATAATATATCTCCTTCCTCACAACCTTCCCCTGTTCCCCCCACATTTCCTCTCCAGTCTCCACAAAGCTCTCAACCCTAATCGCAATGCAGTTTTCAATTTCTCTCTCGCTATCTTCTCCATCAACGGTCTGTAGATCGGACTGCTCCGCTGTCGCTTCCAATGCGAACGTCACTTTGCTGACTCCGCCACGATCACTTCGATTCTGCGGTCTTAGAAGGGAGGCTTTTGGGTTCAAATCATTTAATTCGTCTGTTCATACGCGTTTCCAATCATCTAAGACTACGAGGCTTTCGTGCTCCAACAGAATCGCGGCTTCTTTGGGTGGAAATGGAGCACCTTCCAAGGGTTTTGATTATGATCTGGTTATTATTGGAGCTGGTGTTGGTGGTCATGGTGCTGCTCTTCATGCCGTTGAGAAGGTATACTACTTTTGTGTTGTTGAATTGTGTTAGTACTAGCTTATTGATGTTCGTGCACTACCTTTACGCTCTCTTGAGCTGGCTGTCTCTGCTTTCTTTCCAAATGCTTTTCTTTTTTCATGAACTAGTAATATTTTTGACTTATCAGTAGAAGGAATTATTGACTGGAGTAGGTGCTTAATTCGGCTATATTACTGAACGTAGCTCTTGCATGACGAATCACTTGTAGAAAGCATGAATGCGGTTACTCTAATGACAGGGGATTTCGAAATAGAAATGGCAATAAGATGGTTGGATAAACTCAATAAATAAATGAATAACCAAAGGAAGAGAAAAGAAATAAACAATATGACGTGGTGATGCTTGTTGCAGTGTGAACTCCTATGAAACATCAATTTCACTTCTGTAATTCTCGGAAATTTCATTGTGAGATCGTTGAAGCCTCGATAGCATGAGAAGTTCTTGGGTTGAACTAGATGGTTCTGTTTCTTTTTCCAGTGAATATTGTGCATAATTACTTAAGGATCTTTGCAGGGCTTGAAAACTGCTATCATCGAAGGGGACGTAGTTGGAGGAACATGTGTAAATAGGGGATGTGTTCCTTCCAAAGCTCTTTTAGCTGTGAGCGGGCGCATGCGGGAGCTTCAGAATGAACACCATATGAAGTCTTTTGGTCTCCAGGTATTTCTTACTCTTGCTCCTATAAGCCTAATATGTTTAGGTCCTGACATGGCATATGTTCTTTTTGGAGTAAGAAAAATTGTTTGATCGTTTGGCATATGTCGGTTAACATAATTGTTTTGGTATTTGTTACATACTCAAAATACTTAAGACTTCATGAGGTGATTCAACATGGAATAATTTGGGAGAGAAAGCTATGAGGCATAGTACTCACTTCTGAACTTCATATTGGTACAGGGTACAACATGCCCCATATCTTATTATATTTATTATTTATTATTATTGTTGTTGTTGTTGTTGTTATTATTTTGGAATCCTTACTTTGGAGATGAGTACCCCGGAATTGGGTGCATTGGGGTCAAAGTGGATATTTTTCGGCAAAATACAATTTTAAACAAAAATCGGAATTATGTTGACTAAGTTGGAGATGCACCCCTGTTTTTAATGTGATTGACGTTTCCATTTAATATCTAATGATTTTTAATAAAGATGTTGGATGACGTAATTCATAGCTTATACTGTTTAGTACAACTGATAGAATGTGTGTTCTTACTTTTCACTTTTGTTACCGACAGTTATTAGTTTTTTTTTTGTTATAATATCTTTAAATTGTAAGCATATAATGACAATTATGAAAAAGCACCCAAGGGTGTGGCATAATGGTCAATGAAGTGGGTGAAATAGTCGAGGTGCGCGCAAGCTAAGCTAGCTTGGACACCATTGTAGTAAAAAATATTATGAAACAAAGATTATATATATATACTTCATATCTGATCCTCATATCTCTAAATCTTTTTGTACTTTCATGTCATACCACTACTGGGTACAGTGACAAAGCACAAGCCAAAATTGGGAAGTCAGATTTGTGTATTTACCCTAGTATTTGGGAAATACAGAACATGATAATGGTTGTTTTGTGCCTCTTCTTTTGGGGTGTATATAAGGCAACAATGATTACTGAACTCCCATAGCAGTGACATTCATAGATAATTTATTCAGGAATTGGGAGTAAAATTAGATGAAATAATTCATGCATAAACTAAAACAACCGATATGTGTTTCTGGTACCTACTTATTGTGTTTAGATGAGCTTAAGACTATACGTTATTTGTTAATTAAGTTGCATCTCGAAAGGAAGCTCGAGTGTCCTCCTAATGGAACTTTTAACTCAGGTCTTTCAAACTCATTTTTTAGTCTTTTGCTCTTAGTTATGACTTTATATATCTACTGTACTTATGGTACATCACTTATCTTTCATGTAAGGTTGCTGCCGCCGGATATGACAGACAGGGTGTTGCTGATCATGCAAATAATTTGGCCTCCAAGATTCGTAGTAATTTGACCAATTCAATGAAAGCCCTTGGTGTGGATATATTGACAGGTTTTGGAAAAATTTTGGTATGTTTATATTTTACAGTTTACAAATATCTCTTAACCTCTTTTGTCTGTAACCAGTTGGATTTAGATGATGAAGATTTTGCTGTGCTTTTTCAGGGTCCACAAAAGGTCAAATATGGAGATACTGTAATAACAGCAAAAGATATAATAATTGCAACTGGTTCTGTCCCCTCTGTGCCCAAAGGCATCGAGGTTGATGGTAAGTGATTTCTCTTGATTATCATGTCTGTTCAGGATGCAATAAGCAACTGATTATCGAGTTGCAAGTCTTTTTTATGTATGATATACTAAAGGGTGCAGCCTGCTGAATAGCTGGTATTACTTGGATGCTTCATGCTTAACATCTTAATACTCTTGAAATCAGAGTTTTTAATCGTTGGAAATGTCAATTAATGGGATGAAGATTCTAAGATTTATTGAAAGTGGAAGTTCTATAAATCCATGTTTTATTCAATAAACTTGTGAAGTAGCATATACACTGCTTGCAGAAAAAAAACTGTTTGTAAGACTTGGTTTAACTATCTACTACGTTTCTTGAGCATATACGTTAGAGTTTTTATGGAAGATTAGGTGCTAAACTCCTAAACATGTTGGCGGAAGTTTTTGTTCAGTAGCTCCATGGATGTGTCTGGCAATGCTCAATTGTCGTCTACACAAGTGATATAACATTACTTGACTGGCATTGTACCGAATGTTTTGCATCAAGATTTGGAATTGATTTTCCGACAATTACTTGAGCTCATCTATGTTGAAATTTTGGAAAAGATTTAGACATGAGAGATATACAACTTGTATCATTAAATGATGCCGATGCTTGCTTTTGCAGGTAAGACAGTGATAACAAGTGATCATGCACTCAAATTGGAATTTGTACCTCAATGGATTGCTATTGTCGGAAGTGGTTACATTGGACTAGAATTTAGTGATGTGTATACGGCACTAGGAAGTGAGGTAAAGCCTATTATAGTTTCTGCAAGACTATCTGTAGCAACAGAACATCAATCTTTTCTTTCATAATCTGTCTTTCAATGCTGACCACTGGATAACTGCGCAGGTTACCTTTGTTGAGGCTTTAGATCAGCTCATGCCCGGCTTTGATCCTGAGATTGGGAAGTTGGCACAGCGAGTCCTCATAAATCCTCGAAAGATCGATTATCATACAGGTGTATTTGCAAGCAAGGTAATATAGGCACATACTAACCTGAACCCCTACATTCCAACCAGTTACCTACTTGCCTTAATTTTGGTGCACTTTCTTCAGATAACTCCAGCAAAGGATGGAAAACCAGTGACTATTGAGCTTATTGATGCAAAGACTAAGGAACTCAAGGATACATTGGAAGTAAGTTGTAGCTTTTTGTTCAGAGGAAATTAACATTGTTATTTTCAATTCATGATTTTGGATGGAAGCTGTATCCTTTTGGTCTTGGATCATGGTTACTGGCTAAGATCATAAATCTTAAATCATGTCCAACTATAAACAAAATAACAAATTAATAAATCTAAAGTCTTGGGATTGTAAAATTACCTTTAATGAGTATTTCTGCGACATCATGGATCTCATTCATCCTTTAAGCTTTATCATTGTTTGGATGACCTGTTTATCGGGAAAAAATCACTGTTGGATTAAACTGTCTATAGGTACTTTGTTGCAAGACTATACACTTTCGATATATGTTACTCGGACTCTTCAAAAATGTTGTTGGGTGTGTGTGGGATCCTCCAAATTTAGTGTATTTTTGGAGGATCCGACACGGGTGCGGTAGCACTTTTGGAGAGTCCGAGCAACATAGCTTTTGATAAGCACAGATTGTTATATGAGTAAATTAAGGACACAGCTAAAGTCGGTGGTATAAGATAACTTTGATTACTGGATAAACTGTATCAGCTTAGCAACATTCCTGCAACACGTCATTGTAAGACTATGCAGGTAGTACTTTCTGAATAGTGGTAACATCAAAAGAGGGAGAACGACTTTGCTCTCGTTGTTGCCTGCATTTTGATTTAAGATCTTGTTTTCCACATTTTCTGTACTCTGCAGGATACTTGCTTCCTGTCACTAGCATCTGATAATTCCCAAATATTTTATTCTGTCGCAGGTAGATGCTGCTCTAATTGCGACTGGAAGGGCACCATTCACCCAGGGACTTGGCCTGGAAAATGTTAGTTGCATGCATGTTTACAGAAACTAACTTTATAAATGTTGTGACTTCTCATAATTCTTTTTGTAAACAGATAAATGTTCAAACACAACGTGGATTTATTCCTGTTGATGAGCGGATGTGTGTTATTGATGCCAATGGAGAGTTGGTAAGCATGAATATCTTTTTTTTTTTTTTT